TCAGACCCAAACTAACTTTAATAGTACATTGTGCAAAATAATCAGTACCTCTCCTTCCTTACGATACGAAACTTTGACTGCCGGATTCTTCTCTCCCTTGGTGGTACTATAAAATATTGGAAATACACGGCATTGAAATACAGATACATGAAGCATTAAGTAACATAACTTTGTAAGAAATCATTAATGTAATTAGAGCCATCTGGCTTTTACGATGGCTCTCAGTACATCTTAATCTAAATAACTAAGGAATCATCAAGGAGCATAACAAGTGTTCCTAAGCTCTGTTCACCAAGGAACTGAGAAAATCTTACAAGTAAGGAAAGGTAGCCAGGTATCTTTTTCTGTTTCCAGCATTCAATGGATCCATCCACCCTAATTTGGATAGCCTGCTCCTATCTACCTATCTATGACTGAAATCCCCCACCCTCCCCTCTCCCCACCAGAAAATCCCAGTTGCATGCACCAACATCAGTAGCTCTTGTAACAACTGACATTCTATGAATACTTACATCTTCTTAGCTTTTCTGATTTTGAAAATGCTTTCTGAGAAACATTTGAAATAGTTTCATATTCAGGTTTGCTTCTTGACAGAAATCCTTTCCCAAAGAAACCCTACCAAGAAAAAATTACAATTTTTGGAAGATATAAAAGAAAATTTTCTCATGAGTTAAATAAAAATCCACCATGGTGATGAGGCTTGGGAGTTGAGTCTGAATTTGTATCAGAGGAAAGTTGGTAAAATGAAGATCTGTCCATGATTATGGACTTACAATTACTTCCTTGGCCAATGTGTGGGTCATGTTATCATTGTTGATGCAGTTTTCTATTGCTGCCTCCCTTATACCTTTGGTATACCACCTCCTGGTTAACTCAATTGGTAGAGCGCTGGATTGTTGTGTGGGAGGTCGAGGGTTCAAGCCCTGGCTGGACCAACACTCAAGGTCTTAAAATGACTGAGGAGAATGTGCTACCTTTCTATAATATCAAGAAATGGATAGATATTCTAGTCTTCTTGGATAAGGACGAATAAACTGTAGGTCCCGTCTCCTGCAGGGTTAGGTGTAGGAGACATTAATTTCCCACGCATGAGATTACTGTGTGGTGAATGTCAGTCCCCTGGGATGGGATGGGTGGGTATGTCCGCTGAAGATGGGCTGTATTGCCCTTTACAGATTAGACATTTCGATTTAGATTTAGTGACCGGGGAAAAAAACCTCTGACAGTGAAGGAGAATATGGCTGGGTTTGTCTGCGTGTATGATTAAATGCACAGTTGTGCAGGTGATGTTATTAAAATGCCGATTCTGCAAAAGTCAAGCTCAAGTTCAAGAAATTCGCCAGCCAAGAAACCACTTCACTTTTTGAAATAACTAAAATGAAAAATTTCCTGAGATCTTTGTTGAATACGAATCCCGGGAAAATTGTTCAGAATTTGAAACTACCGAGTACCTAATTTAGCTAGTGTTTTGCAAACATTAACCGGGTTCCGAGTGTAACGGTATACAGAAAGCTTCTTAAAAAAGAATTTCATTCATGATTATGATTCTTCAAAGAACCGGATAGTTTAAATAGATATACCAAACAATAACACCCACGCCAGGCATGGAAATTCTCCTCAACTCACCATCTTGTAAAGAAAAGTAAGGTCTCCTAAATCTTCAATCACAACGCAGTTATCCCTGAAATAACCAGTGTAATAGTACCACCTATCAGTGGAAGATTGCTCTCCTGTAATACTTTGAATGGGAATGGGAAATGGAGCTTCTTTGGGATGAAATCTAGCGCCTTTCTTGCGCCGGGGAGTCCGTCCTTCGTCCGCCATATTGATTGTGGTATATATTTGGGTCGTCGTATACGACGTAAAATTCTTTGTTACTGAACCCGCTGCAATGGTATTGCCTGCGCATAAGTAGGAGGGCGGCTGCTAAGTCAAGTTTAAAAAAATGGCGGTTAGTCTGACGGTTACGTGAATGGATTGATTGCAGACACTTGCTCAAAAATTGTGGTAGATTCTGTGCGATTCCTATCATGACGACAGGAGACCTAAAAAATAACCTTCGCAAGCTAGTTTCTGTACTAAAGCAAATTCACTATCCTCAAAGTGAGGTCAACCTGAAAGGCATCGCGCAGGGGATTCCCAAAGCATTTCTTCCAATTGTTCATCATGTTTTCCTTGACTTTTCTATTTCACTGGCACAGTACTTTGCATCCAAAGTGTACGAGTTGTACGGAAAAACTGATTCACGGTTTATGGAAACCGTCTACAAGGTTCTGCGAGATGAGTTTGGCTACAAACCACAGCTAACGAGGGAGCAGTTTCTAACGATTGGATTTGCAGAGAGAAAGATTATTTTTCTGTGCGCCATTTTAAAACTCCTTAGAGAGAAACACAATGAGCTTAAACCTAAAGGCGGAACATCGGAAAAGAAGAAAATGAAACAAAGTTGTACCAATTCACAGATGAATGGCACCAAAGTCAACGGAACGTGTAAGGAAACTCATGCAAAGAAAGATGTTTCGACTTGTTCTGATCAGTTTGGTGGACCTCTCCCTCTGGACACGGATATGAAGAGGTTTCGGAGTAACGGAGAGGCACTGAAAGCTGGTTTGGGATTGAAAGAACCCCTTATAACTCGTGAATTTATGGAGGATGAGCCCGAGAACCATTCTACATCAAAAGCTGAAGATTATGAAGTAGACTTAAATATTGGTAAATCAGGAGAAGTCTTAGGTGATAAAGGTCACGCATTTCCTTCAAATTTGATCATCAAATCCAGTGACTCATCGCTCTTTGGTAAGAAATTTCCAGTTTCTCAGAATGTCGAGACTTGTCCATATTTGTTAGATCGGTCTCAAGTTAAATCGGTGACTTGGGAAGATCAGGGTACAGGTTCCCGGAGATTTCACTCTGAACGACGAGAAAAAGTTTCGAGAAAACCTCAGCCAAACCCAGTATCCGTACCAGTGAGTATCCATGAAATTCCTTATTCAGTGTCCTCGCCTGAATATTATCCAACATCCTTTGAAAACACAGCTAACAGGGGAATGAATCCACATTTAGTTCCATCCCCAGTTACCATGACAGCAGCACCAGAGCCAAGCCCAGATCTGATGCTCACACCTACTGTCAAGAGCAGCTGTTTTGAAGTCATCCCTAAATCTAGCTCTCCTTCCCAAGTTTATTTGCATCCAGCTGCTAAAATTCCACCTACAACAAGAGTTGTGAGGCATCCCAAAGCCAGTAAAGGCAATACTCCAGAAAGCTCTGTATTGAATCCAGGCTCAAATGAAGAAAACCAAGTTTGCATACTCAAACAACAGTTACAAGAGTTACTCAAGAAATATGATCATGCCATATTGCTGAATAATGAAATATCTGCCAGAGTTGTACTCTTGGAGAGTAAAGTGAAGTTACTTGAGGAAGCATGTGAAAGAAAGTGTAAATGTAATTGCAGAAATCCCTCAGCTGCAGTCTCTGCCAAGAAAAAAGCAATAAAACAAGATGATGCAAGTGTGGTTGTGTCTGGTTTTAATATTCATGGTGAACCAAGATCAACTGAACAATCTTGTATGAACAAACCAACAAGTTTATCACTTAAAACATTTGGCGAGATAACCAGTGCAATGCCCAAAGCAACTAGCCGAAAACTATTTAAGGAAACAGTAACTTCTCTTGATAATGATGACATAGTTTTTGACTCATACTCTCATTTTGTTGAGGTGTCTGATGATGAAGATGGCAATGATGGTGCTGACAATGATAAGGATGGCACTGGCAAACTTAAAAGTGTTCTATCAAATGAGAAAGATGCAGATATTATCATAAGCCCATTCCCTTCAGCTTCAAAACTTTCAACTCTATTTTCTGACCCTTCGACAAAGAATACTGTGGTGAATGTCCAGAAAAGGCTCCAGGAGACCAGAGAGCTTCTCAATAGGACAAACAGAGACTTTGCAACAAAATTTCATCATTACCAAGTGGAATAAAATTTCTATTCTTGAAAGCTGTGTAATTAATAACAACCAGAGTTGTAGCTAAGAAATTATGCTACTTGCTGAAATTTTAAGTGAGGTGGCTCTAAGTTGGTGAACAATTGTAAGTGTGTATAACCTCGGAAGTGTGTAGTGTGCTTTATCAAGTAATCACCGGTTAAAAATCCAGCTGGCGATCGCAGCTTTTTCATCTGGTGAATTTTGCCGGCAGCTGGTGCTTAGCAATAACTCTGCCTAAACTGCTAAATAACAACTGTTTGCAGAAGACAACACCAGTTTGATTCACATTGGGGTTTCAACATAAACTGATGCATTGAATCGTAACTGCCATTCATATTCTGCATGTGCTCCTAGTTTTTCAGATATGATGAATATTGCATTTTTTATGAAAATTTCATGGGGAAATCCAAAAAGCTCTCCTTGTAATTACTTAATCTTAGGGTGTTTCAGTGAGGGTGAATTTAATATAAGAATGGTACTTGATTAAGAATCCATTGCCTCTTTTTGTCTAATTTTCCTGATCCTAATAGCTAGCTTACACTGTACACCCGTGAGGGGTTAAGGTAGTGAAATGCTGGAAGAGATTGACCTTTTTGATTTAAAACTCAAAAACCACTTCCAACTGAGGCTCTTCATTTGATTTCATAACATTTCTTCAGACTTTGCCATCACCATTGAATGGTTAAACAGAACTTGCTCATCTTTTGGTCGCAGTTGCAATACATCCAGCCTCACACCTTATGATTGTCATGTAACCCATTCACCTTTGCCAGGCTTCTTCCTGTTTGTTTATCTTTTAACCTTTAATTCCCAAGATCTGATTGTAAATTCTCCCCTCTAGCTGCTACACATTTCCTTGTAAATTGGTTATGAGAATTTGGTGTTCAGTCAAGGTAACAACTTCTACCTGATGAGTTTGAGTATTCTCATTACCTGTTTGCTGGATGATGTATGGATATTATAGGGAGAAGTTACAGGTTAATCGCTTCTGGAAGTCAAAGGGTTAAACCCTAAGAATGACAGGCATCTAATTTCTCCTTACAATATCAACCCTGAGGGGTCTGCTTTAGATCACGAGAATAAAAGAAATGATCATCAAGTAAAGAAGCTCTTGATTGTTAAACAAATTCTCCTTGTCAGCACCTTAGAGTACCTTATCTTACATTATACATACTGATATTGGGGTGTAAAAGATAAAAACCCAGAATCAAGTACTGACATTTATTATCCAACTACACTTCGTAGAGTACAAATATCATGCGGTATTTGTACTCAAGGGTACCGGTTAAACAGGTTTTCTCGCATTGCACAAGCGAAGAGTTGAATTGTAGTTATGAAAAAAAATGGTGGACAATTTGAATCATATTTCCAACGACGAAGAGTCAGAATGGCTGCAAATATACATCCAAGTTTATTAGATCAATCCAATGAAGAAAAACAGTTAGAGGACCTGGAAATTTCTTCATTTATTGAAGAAAATAGAAACAGCAACATGACAACACGCTAATTCCATTCCGTTTCGCAAACTTCTGTCACACACTCCCCATAAATAAATATCCGTGAAATTCGCCCGCACTGAAATAACAGTTTGGTGTGTTGAATAATAAATAACTAATCAGACGTTTCGTTGTGTTAAGTATCACTGAGTATTTTTACTTGTTAAAAATACTCAGTGATACTACACAACAAAACATATAATAAGATATATGTATGTCAGTATTCAAAGAGACAGAGTGAGGTAGTTGAACCTTCACACCTCCAATGTTTACGTGTACATGTAAACTCTCCATACTTCTTGCCATATGTTTCTTGTATTCTTATGTCTGAGAGTTTGGAGTTATATCAGGCAGTATTCCAGTGTTTAGTTTTTCTTACTGTTTAATTTATCACCCAATCATTCTCAGAAGACAGAAGTGGTCCCTAGAACTAAGTGTCAAGCTTGGCTTTAAGTTGATTTTCAAGACCTCTTTAGTATGGAAATGATGATGAGTTGTAGAAAAAATGGGAAAGAGTACTTACTAACAAAGTTGTTTTTAAAGCACAACTTGGGATGAACAGCTGGGTAATATAATTATCTTCTCAAATTGAGCTTCATTTTGAATCATTACTTATTACATGACTTGGGAAGTCAGAGGGCCAATAACTAAAATCAACCAATCAAAATGCTCTATTGCCGGTCAATATTCTCTCAGTATTGGACTGGGCACTGCCCCGAATGATACCGCACTTGTGTCCCTTTCAACTTCAGTCGTGTAATAAATCTCTTATTAACCAAGCTTGCTTGGGACCGTACGGGAAGAATATCGGCCCTCGGTCTTTTTTGTATGGACCGAGCGCAGCTCGGTCCATACTGTCAAGACCTCAGGCCGATATTCTCCCAGTACGGCCCTTGCGCTTGGTTAATAAGATATATGTGTCAAATGTGTCTATTTAATAGTGACATTTGAAAGATTTACACAGTATCATCTACAGAAGTAGTTACCTCAGGTAGAACATACAAATTAATAAAAGAGTCTGAGAACTGTTACATAGCAAGTCACAAGATGAGTATGATAATGAAATGGAATAGAAGCTGAAAAAATGGTTGGCTTAAGGTAAATATCTTTGACATAATTATTCAAAAAAAGTCTGAAAGAAGAGTCTAAAAGGGCCTTTAATGAGAGAATGGACACAGCAAGTATAAGGTATATAACTGGTTTATTTTCAAAAGGAACCTAAATAACGTAAAAGCAAGCATACCCACAAGCACAAAGAATAAAACCTTTAATTTGTTTTATGACCTTGCCCTCTTTAATGTGGCAATTAAAGAACTAATAATATACATGAAAAAATTCTTTGCATCTGATTGGCTGAAAAGAAGTGCATTTTTCATGTAACACTAGGGCAAATTACAAATACTATGTGTACACTGTCAAAATTTTGTCTGTTTTGACTTTGTCTAATGCTTTTTTCATCTAAATTTTAAATAAGTAACAGCATGATTTCTCATTTAATCAGGTGTACAAAAGGAACTGGAAGGGAGTTATATGAGAGTTAGCTGTTTTCTGCTAAAATAGAAGTTTTGATTTCCTAGTGATTTGTAAAAAATGAATACTTGCAAAAGATTTTTGTATGAATGTAAAGTAACCATAAATAATTTTGATTGGGTTTTTTCCTTATTTTTTTGTTTATTTATTTTTTAACATATCAAAGACAAAATAGTCTTACTCACACAAGTAAAACACGAGCTGCATGGGTTGCAGCCAATCCAACCTGGAATCCCAGGTCTGTCCCAAGTGGGATCCCGCCTAAATTTTCATGCGAGATCCCTTAAAATACAGCTGAAATTTTCGAAGACTGTGGTACTGGGACCTTAATATGACAATCCCTTGGTAGTGCTCATCCCAATATGTTTCATGTACTCATAACTTATGATCAAGAATTCTTTTTCGTGGGCGAGCACAATTGCCTATCCCATCTGCCAGTAACTCAACAAGCCTGTAAAGTTGTTCTGTTTTCATGCAAGATGGGAGTTTCAAAAGTTTTGAGAATCCTATGATAAAACAGTACTATAATTTTAAGAAACAGAATTTACTTGTTAGAGTGCCAGAACCTGCTTCTCTAAACTTAAAATTTTGATTCTTAAAACCTTGTTCCAGGGTCATTAAGTTACTGAAACTCAGTTGCAAGAAATGGGACCCTGGTGACTGTACCTGGAATTTGCTGTTGTTGCCCAGGGCTGGTTGGATCCATTACAGTTAAAAGTTGGTAAGAGATGATAACTTCAAAATTTTCAATCTTAAATACCAAGAAGAAAATGTTGAATGCTCTGAGAAGTAGTGACTCACTAGTGCTTTCAGATACTTGAATGGACTGGTGTTAGAGATCAAAGTAGAAAAAACTACTCAAAATCTGGCAAATTTTGAACTGGTATGATACTGGTGAGTGCAATTAATTTCTTTCTAAAAAATTGAAACCATAGTTATAAATTAATTCACATGTGCTTAAAGTGAACCTCCTAAAAATATACTTATCCATATCCTGTACACCTATTTAGATATTCAGCATACTATGTTATATTAAAGAATATAAAATGTTATGAATTGTTTGATGTCATAACTTAAATAGTGCAAAATATATCTATTTTCCATCTATAATTATTTACAAAGTAAAGCCTAAACTTGGTCTGCTGTATTCTATTATTGAGTGTAATTTTGTCATCAACTAAGATTTTCATGAGGAGTTAGTTCAGAGATACTTTTTAGTTTAAGTGGCTCTTCATTATTTTGTCTTGGAACTGGGGCTTTCACAGGTGAACCGCTCTGTTGAATTGCTTCACCCATCTTCAAGATAGCATCCATTTGTACCTCTGGTATAGCTGGATACAATACAGCTGGACTAACATGAACAAACAGAAACAAAGAGAACTTTAAATCAAATAGGCCATTTTACAGTTGTGTACTTATAGTTGCCAAGCCTTTGATTCAGAGTGAGGCTGAAGGTGACCTTGTTGTGATAGAGACCTGTATCTACTTAACTTCATATATTCATTGTAAAGTGATTTACATTTGAAAGGCTAGCAGCAAGGTTTGTATCATAACAAGGTCAACCCTAGCCTCACTCCCATTCAAAGGCTTGGCAACCAAGCACACAACTGTAAAATGGACTATTTCAGCCAAACATGCTATCTTTGGATATTTCCCACATCAAAGTACATTGTATGGATAACAATCAATGACCCTTTTGTAACATATATATCTGCTTGGTCGTTCACTACATGGACAAAAAGATTTAAAATTTAGTCTCTACTCACGCTACTCTGTTCTTTTTCATCCTTCTAATCAATTTGTAGTGGCTCAGTTCTGGATGCCTGTTTTTTCGTGTTATTCTGGGGGAGTTCAGGAGAAAAAAAATCAGTTATTGATGCAACACAATAACAACAACAACAACAGCAAAAACACAACTAACTCGTTACTGTTACCAAATGAATGTACATAGAAATATTATTATATTATCAGGAAATGCACACAAAACCACTGCCACACTGGTTTCTCAATCCATCAAATTTCAGCAGGAGCACTGAACACAATACAGTGGAACCTCGATTTAATGAAGTGCCAAGGGACTGGGAAAATTGGTTCATTACATCAAGGTTCCAATGGCATACATTTTACTGTGACTTTAGGCGGTCTGAAACTGAAGTATCGCCTGCTTGTTATACTGTGGACTTCGTTTTATAGAGGTTCGTTAAATGGAGGTTCCACTGTAGTTGGAGAATTCTCCAATCCCTAATGTGCCACAAACACCACATATTACCTGCGCCATAATTTCTGCCAGGTTTGTAATGTATTTGATGTCCAGGTCCAGCTACTCATAGCAATTCCAGTACCAAACAAGGAGGCTAATTCCAGCTCAATTATACTGAGATCAGGACGTGTCTCAACAGCACATGTTGCTTTCCATATTTGTCCCCGTGCCACTCTCTCTGCAATGCATCTTTCAAGAAATGACAGAGTTAACAAATTAAATATGAGTACCTTCCTTGTATTTGACAAGTCTGATACTATTAACTAGAATTTAAGTAACTGTTCAGCTGTGTCTACATATCACATGAAGCCAAATTTATTGATTAATTTATTATTTTTCAAGGATGCGTGACTTCTTATGAATTTATTGAAAACAATTACAGAAATTTACTCAATACACTTGACACCTTTTAATACAGAATTGGAATTTCTTAGAAACATGTGAAATGTCAATCAATATATTCTTGCAACACATTTGACGAGTAGATCTATAGCCAAATTTGCCACGTTTCATGGAAATACAAACCCATATGACTGTAAAGTCTCTATGAAACAGGGCGTGACATTAACGGTAGCCCACTAGCCACAGGCTAGTAGAAATTCAGTTTTGGCTGGTGGTTTTCAGTTTCCATTAGCCAGTTTGGCTAGTAAACGAACTGAAATTGTCGTTGCAGCTAAGATGTCACCAGCCACTTGGCTAGCAAGTTGAAAAGTTAGTGTCAAGCCCTGTGGAAGTAAGTGAAAAAATAATTTTCAGCCTTTTCGTTTTGAATGAAGTATTTTTTCATGTTGGTTACATGTACAATGAATGTTTCTGCTTATTTTTTTATTGGCTGATGATGTTAAAAATTGGCAAAACCAGGTTGAATTCTATTTTAGATCAAGTTATATTAGTTTTATGAGGAAATACATCAAAAAGAGAAACAAGAACTGAAAGTTGCCAGTTTGAAACAGTTGAATCCATACAAGCATGCCTAGTTGATTACCGCAGCAACAAATACAGTTTACATGGTTTAGATAAGATATTCTTGATTATCCAGACCCTGGATTATCTGGACCATTTCTTCTAGTCCCAATAACTCTGGATAATCAAGGTTCGACTGTACTGATATTTACCTTACAAAATTTCTGTAGCTCTCCTCCCAAATTTTCTGGTTGTGATACTCATAAACATGGCAGGCAAATGTTGTAAATACCGTCAAAAATGAAATAAAAGAAAATACACCTGTAGTAATGAACCATAATGTATTAAGTTAGTCAATTTAACTTACCTAAGCTCGTGGTCACGAGAATTAGCAAGAGAGATTGCTGATTGATGGCATGTTGCATTTTGAGCTAAAAGTCCCTGGAAATCAACCTTACTTACCTACTCTCATGATAGTCTCTTTGATTTTATGAGCAGCTCTGTGGCTTAAAAAATTAGGATTTGCCCTGCGGAGCTTACACAGAGTTACAAGACCTAAGATCAAAGAATGAAATTAGTTAAAAAAAAAAAAACTGAAAACAGTTATGGGAGTTAAGAAGTGCTTAGTACAATTAGAAGTTACAAGATACGCGACCGCAATGATACAAATACAGGGAGAGCTTACAGGAGACCAGTCGGCCATGTTTGGTATCACAATATCACATAATTTCAGTGAGTAAATTGATGACCAACCTTGTGTTAAAAAGCTCCCCCCGATGAGCAGATCCACACCTAACGGCACCAACAGGAAGATGGCTCTCATATTGGGATTCTTGTAACCAACAAAACAGATTCCACTCAGAGAGTTTGCATCAACCTTAAATTTAAAAGAAACAACATTACCAGTATTACTTGCTAAATAGTAACAAGATATCTGCCTTGAAAATTTGGTTTGAAAATATTTAGTTTTGAAAAAAATATCATACTGGCCACTCTGATTTAAATACAAAAATTTATTCCTACTCAATTTCAATCTAAAAGATTTAGGATTGATCATTGACAAAATTGTGTGGAGGCGCGGTGGCCTCATGGTTAGTGCACTCGACTCGGGATCGAGTGGTCCGGGTTCGAGCCCCGGCCGGGACATTGTGTTGTGTTCTTAGGCAAGACACTTTACTCTCACAGTGCCTCTCTTCACCCAGGTGTATAAATGGGTACCAGCAATTTAATGCTGGGGGTAACCCTGCGATGGACTAGCATCCCATCCAGGGGGGAGTAGAAATACTCCTAGTCGCTTCATGCTACAGAAACTGGAGTTAAGCACCGGCCTAATGGGCCACTAGGCTCGTAAACAGACTTTACTTACTTTACTTATTGACAAAATTAATGACTTCATACAGTATCAGACTTGAAAAAATAACTATTGAGTGGAGCCGTTTACTCTTCACAGCCTCACTGAGTAACATTGCAGGGTTGTTGCTGAGCACCAGCTGCTGGCGAAATTCACCAAATAAAAAAGCTGCACTCACCAGCTGGATTTTTTTGCTGACCATCGATCACTTGATAAAGCACAACAGTCACTTCTGAGGTTACACACTTAAAATTGTTCACCACCTTTAATTTGAGTTACCTCAATTGAAGTTTCAGCTGGCAACATAATTTCTTAGCTACCACCCTCACATTGTTGGTTTTGACTGCAATTGTAAAGACTTGACTCCATTCTGAGTCTATAAAACTAGGATGTTTGACTGTCGGTCGTTTCTTTATTTTTCGTATTGATTATTTATTAATTAAATGATTCTTAAATTTAAGACAGTTTTTCAGTCAATTTTATGAGCATTGTCATCACTAACATTTTTGTCTGCAAACTGTTACCTGTTTCAGAGCAACAACACTAACTGCCAAAGTAAGAGGAACCAACCAGGCTATCACATGAAAATACACCACTTTTCCAGCAAAGTTATCCCTGGTGCTGCCCAGAGACTTAAAACAGATTGACCAGGAAAAAGCCAGGATGACAAACCACAGGGCACCAACCATTGAAAAGTAATAAACAAGCACAAAGGTTAGAATGCACAGGAAGCTGTCACTCTCACTGCAAAAAAAATTAAAAAATTAATAATTATAGTAACATTGTACAAAAAGCCTTACTGTTAGAGTCACACTTTAGTGAAGTCATTTTCAAAGTTTGTTGAGTGATGTTCTCAATTACCAGCTAGAACTCCAAAAAAATCCTTAACTGAAATGTCACTGCTGACCTTGCTGCAATATATCGTGACCTTAAGCTACATATTTTCCCAAATGGCCTTCTCATGTGATGGACAAGCATCCAATTCCATGGATATACAGTTCTCCTTCTCATTTCATGCCAAAGAAAGTGGGATAAACTCCAACTGGATGGGCCATTTCATTAAATCACAGCTGACTTCACCTTTTTGCCTTACCTTCCACTCAGTCAATATATATAAAACCTTACTTCCTTGTCACAAAGTGGAAAGTTACCTTGGTTCTTGAAGCCTCATAGTATCATCCGCCCGACATACTGTACGGTTTCTGGCCCCATCAGCAAATTGGATGAGAAAACCCATAGATGCTGCACAGAAACAAGTGTTCATGTAAAAGAGAATTACTGATGGATATCGATTCTGTGACTTCCAGCCAATGAGAAATGTAACCTGTGGGATACGAGAGATTGATGTGAGGTTGTGATTAAATGGGATGCATGAATTTAAAAGTTATTTCCCAAAGGGAATGACTGCATTCTCAATTGTTGTGTTGAATATAAAAAATGTTGTTATTATTGCAAGGTGGTCATAATTTAATCGTTGTAACCATAACTGAAATGAGATTCTTATAAAAATATGATTGGTATGATGCACGATCCTCGCAGTAGATAGCGCTATTTATGCAATAGCGAAAATCAGACCTGAAAAAAATCAGGCCTGTACGGGACTCGAACCACTGACCTCTGTGATACTAGTGCAGCGCTCTTACCAATTGAGCTAACAAGCCAACTGGGAGCAGGCCGTTAAGTTGGTTTGTAATAAACCCGTGAAAGTGATAAATGAGATAGAATAAATATATGAAGTTCATATATTTTGAACTGCGGTATTAGTGCATCATCATTCGTGCATCATACGTATCTAATACCGCAGTTCAAAATATATGAACTTCATATATTTATTCTATCTCAAAAATATGATTATTTCAAAAACAAAATCTGCATGAGCAGATAGATGAGAGCCTCCCAGTTAGCTCAATGGATAGAGCACTGGACTGTTGTGTGGGAGGTCAAGGGTTCGAGCCCTGACCGGACCAACACTCAAGGTCTTAAAATAATTGATATAACATCAAGAAATGGTTAGATATTCTAGTCTTCTCAGATAAGGACGAATAAATGGAGGTCCCGTCTCCTGCAGGGTTAGGAGTAGGAGACGTTAATTTCCCACACATGAGATTACTGTGTGATGGATGTCCTTCCCTGGGGTGGGTTGGATGGGTTGAGGGCCGCAGGTTAGAAAAATGTAACAGGTTATTGCACTTCCCTCTTTAAATAAAGTTAAAGTTAAAGCTACAATACCATTGTGAAAAGGCTGCATGTAAATGATAAACTTCCAAATGCTCCAACAAATCTGTGAATTCTTGTGTGCTCTTTAGTGGTAAATATAGGGTTTTCACATTGAATACCGCACCCTTCAATGCCCTCATACCAACTGGACTGGTGCTTTGTCTCAACCAAGGGCCTCTTGCAAGCTGATTCATTTATCCGAAGTTTAGTTACCTGAAAGACATAATTCAGTGTTAGCTGCAATTTAAATGTCTATTTCTTTTTTAGATTTAAATCCTTGATTAAGTCTTAGAGAGATTAAGTTCAGTCAATACTTGCAATATCAAATAGCCGATACTTGGCCTATGAAAGGCTCTTGGTTAATCTTTCAAATGAGCAAAAAGGGAAGGCACAGGATAAATTGCAGGGGTTGAGCAACAAAGACAACTACAACCACTGTTTAACCCTTGCCAGTTCCTTCCCTTGTCTCTACTGATGACAGAGAGCAAGTAACAGGTTATCTTTTGCATAATAATGAAGGAGGCAAAATTTTGCATTGAGCTCCAATGCATCTCCTGCTGCCACTTGCCTAAAGCCCTAAGAGCTAGGATAAACGAATGCTTAATTGCCGGCTATGGTGAACAGAGGTGGGTGCTGGGTGCATCTGGAGAAAACATTACTCTGAAAAGAAGGATCAACTTTGTGGTTGCTTAAAGGTGGCAAGGTATTGCCCACTTGTTTTCTATCTTACTATCCCTATGTTCCATGTTTACACAAAATGAACAGATATAAATACAAGTATCATAAACCCTTAGGGCAATGAAAGAGCAATTGACCTTGGACACAAGGCACAGAGCTGAAAAGATTGTTCAGACCAATGGTGTCAGCCAAGATTCTTACAAGATACCATTTCATAGTAAATTCTAGAACTTTCTAGATCTGAGTCACAATGATACTCTTGCATTTATAAAAGCTATGTGAAAAATACTTATCTGAAAAATACTTATCTATAGTGGTATATTAATTTTGAGTCGTTAGCTATAATTTATAGCTAGTAAGCTGTTTTCCCCCTTGCAAGATGGGTCAGTCTGATTAGGTTCTAGAGAGGGTGGATGTTGAAAAGTTAATGTCACCTGTAATCAGATGAGCACTAATACGTATATGAGTACTGTTACCAGTAAGCGTGCAGATATTCTTGTCTTCTGACCCCGAGTCTGTTACCTCCCTATTGCTAACGGCAGATTATTTTTAGGTGAAGCCCAGATTAGTAATTAAGCCTATAACTATCACTAACATAATCCATCATTTTTACTCTTAAATAAATTCGGTGCAGTTATTTCTAGACGAGACTGTTTCTTTTCAATCCAGAATATTGTAATAGCTCGAGTTCATTGGAGGCACATTCCAAAACGGGACACAGTGCGGGACCCATCATAATGCCCCCCTATATGTTGACTGGGTCACAGTTATTAAACAATTTTATCTAATATTATTGAGATCTGTTCTCTGTGTGCGTTCGACAATCCACTGAACTATCACACGGATGTTTTTAATACGAACATGCGCTGTATATTGAAAAGGTTCTGTTCTTAAGTTAGATCAAGCTTACCGAACCGTCCTTGCAGTTTCCAAGTGGAAAACGTTCACACTTTAAAAAATCAGGCCATTCTTCGTGGTAACGTTCGACAACAGAACACGGCTTCCGAGTAGCAAGACACTGTTCCCTACAGGGCAGTGTGACGTTATTATTGGAGCATTGCGGCTTGTAAACTTGACACAGAAGCGGCTGAAGAACCGACCAGCACCTGGATAAAAATTTCAAGCCTTCCCACTGCTTCAAGTTTTTTTCAACGTCCAGTTGATTATCAGAATCCGTGACTAACTTTAAAGTTGTGAAGTTATAATCTAAACGTGATCCGAAGCATGTTTGATCCTCTAGAGGTTCACATTGAAAACGTCCACCGTCAGTTCCTTTCAGTGATAAGTATGTAACCAAGAAAGCATAGAAACATGTAGGAGCCATCCAAAACTAAGATCGGTATAAATACACTACTTCAAACGCACACTAATCTTCGAGATTGTCGGAATAGGACATTCCATTACACCGACAAACAGGTTATTAAATTTCATGTAAAGTGATCTTTGTTTGTCTTATGATTAACTTGTTAACTAATTTTATTGAACATTGACCAACTCTGTATGCTTTAATTTTATCAATGTATATTTTTTAATAACACTATTATTGAGATGTAATGCGCGCTTGATCATCATTTCATGGAAAGCGCGCAATATAAGAATTAAATTATTATTATTATTATTATTTTTAATTTTATTTTTATTAACTAACTATAACTCACAAGTCACGTATGAAATGGTCAGAGGCTGAAACGAACCCCTGAAACCCATGACATTCAAAACGACTGTGAAACGTATGCTATCAAAAGAGAATGTTGTATTTCATATATTTCTGTTCTATTGCTATTTTCTTCATGAACATTTTTATGATAATTGTGTCGGTCAATTCCCTGAGATACATGTGGTAAGATATGAATTAATTAAAGTTACCGACGTTTTAATACGCGAAATTTGAAGTAATTAGTTTCAGTGGTTGTTACTCTCTAAACGTGAAAAATTACACAACAAAATAGAAGGAAAAAAAGGGATAATAATAACAGCAACAACAAATGGCTTTTCAAGGAAAAAAAATTGAACGTTCTTAGCCTAGAGAATAAAGGACTGCAAGTTTCCATTAGTACACTTTTCTCGGCATAAAATCACAGTGGGACATGTCAGTCCTCGGGTGTGAAGCGGGGAGAAGAGGGGGTTTTCGGTTTTGGGAGGACAATATTTTGAAAAGGGCGTGGTTTTAAAGGGCCTCGCATGAGTTGCATCTTACACCAGGGCTTCAGTTTCACCATTCAGGCATTTCATTTAATCACAGAGTGCCGAACAGTGTGACAACACGTTCCAAGAAGACAATTCTTGACAAGCTTATTTTGCACGACCAATTTACTCTTAAAATGTAACTAAGTTTACAAGGTCCACGATATATTTCGTGTTATTACTCTTAAAATGTAAATAACTTCACAGAGTTCACGATACACTTTGGGTTATTTTATTTTAGCATTGATTATTTGGTGTTCTACCAAACGAAATCCCCTGGCTTTTATTTTCATTCGATTCATCAGCTCTGTGCTAGAAACGAACGTTTTCAGGTAAAACCTTCTGAGGTAAATTGCTGGGGTGTAATTTCTATTTCCAAGCGTCACAGGCCACTAGTTGCTCACACGCCATTCCGCACACAGACCGGAAGTAACCTGTTTACCGGAAGATCTACTTTACAGAGGATCATGGGTAACTCGTCCGCCATGTTGTATGGAAAGTATTAGAACTGGGAGATGATCGATATATCACGGTGGATATTTTCCATAGTTGTGCTAATTTTAGGAGTAAGGCTTCACTCCGCAAAATGTAACACTATCGACCGACCGTGTTTTGCAATTGGGGGGCCTGATAGATCTAAATGATGAAGAAATTTTTCTCGTCGGGAAGTGGTAACGACCATCAAAGCGGTTTTGTTGGCAAGACTTTGGTGGTGGGACGATGTCAGTGCATTGTCGAAGAGGTCATCGCCGAAGGTAGTTGTTTCATTTTCCTCTATTTTTTTTTTATATCTTGGCTGTTTGTCAACTTATGCAATGGGTTTTGGCGAAATACAGTCAGTTGCCAGGGGCGAGTCTATCCTTGAAGTATTTTAAACTATGACAGATTAGTGAGCTTCATTGCCTTTGTTATGTATAACAACATTCACCTTGGAGCTCAGTTTACGGTTTACGTAAACTTTCTTTGTCCGGTCTACTAATTATAAAGCTTGTGGGAATAGTGTTTCGGAGATATTTCGATCCAGCTATATTCTTTCATGAAAAGTCGACGCAATTTTCTGTCTAAAACAAAATTACTTCTAATTTTTAATTCGTTAGTTATTTGAGCATTAAATTAAACATTCCACAAACACAACCGGAAAATTTCCACATCACATCACTTGCTTAGCCACGCACTCAATGTGTGTGAAAATGACATGAGTAAGATTTTTATGGTTGTTCCCCAATACTCCCTTTCGCATAATCCACTATATATTCGCCACTTAACAGGTCAAGAATGACAATTCATTAGAACTATTGTGTAATTATACAGTAAACAATTTTGAAAGCAATTGCCTAACAATTTAGCGGGGAAGGGAAGATCCAAGACACAAAACAAGGCTAGCTAGAAGTAAGAATTTGGGATTAGAGCTTTGGAGATAAAATTGAGATAAGAAATATTTGAAAGACAAGATTCTGGGTACAAGAGGAGACGTGTTACACAGGCTAGAAAATGCTTCTTTTAGCATAATTTATGAAAGTGGAAAAAATCTTGGCAAGAGTACCCTATAACCCCATACATTAATTATGCATTTAGACTAGTAGACTTTGTTTTTAAAGTTTTGTCGTGAAAGACAAAGAAGTGGAATGCATAATTAATGTATGGGGTTATATGGTACTCTTTCCAAAATCTTCAGTGGAATCATGACTGAGATAGTGACAGTACAGCATAGTGATTGTTACAGTTAATAAATTTACCAAGACAACAATGTTTAATTTTGGTTGCCACTTTGTAGGGAAAACAAATAATCAATTGCTGTTGTTTACTTTGCCTTTTTCTCTTTTCCAGGAGGATTTTCCTTGGTATTTCTTGTGAGAGTTCCCAATGGAAAGAAACACGCTCTCAAACGAATCTCGGTCAACAATAAGCATGATTTAGCAGTCTGCAAACAAGAAATTGACATAATGGTTGGTTGAACTATATGCCATTCCCACTAGCCTTTTTATTCCTAATATCTGAATATCACAGATTTATAATGTCTGCCATGCAAAGCTTGTATTTTAACTGTGAGAATTGGGCAAGGAGTGACTCAATATAGTTTCCCTACTTGATGTTTCTCTTTCTGCTCGTCACTTACATACTTGTAAATTTATATATTTTATGAGGAGAAATTCTTTTTCAATCTTTTTTGGGGTGAACATAAGTGATATAATTATGTCCTTTAATGTAAACGTTAGCACTCGCCTAAGCAAACATCCTTGCTTTGCATAAATATTTCTGTAACTGTGACTGTTTGCTTACAGGAATGTATATATATAATTAAAGAATGTGCTTGTGGCAATTTTTTTTTTAAAACATGATTTTATTGGGTTGGCTGTAAGCAGAGCCACTCACAGCTTGAGAGTCTTCGTAAGAGTAACTGTTTCATCAATAATTTCCCATGCTGGGGTTTATATTGTGATTGAAAATATCAGAATTGATTATTACTTTCCTTAGTGAAAGTTTGTGATTATAGATTTACTGTAGGACCAAGACCAGTCAAATTTAATGTAAATGTTTAATGTTGAAAAAAAATTCAAATTTTATCTATCCAATAGACATGATGTCAAGCCAAATATTTTGCTGGACATTCAGCTCTCTCATTCAGTCATTAAGCACATAGCTGTTTAACTCCTATGAGCGATCAAGATAGAATTTCTCCTTACCATATTTACACTATCAATCAGACAAGTGATGAGATTAAAAAAAAAGATCAATAAGGGGATTATTGGTTGATCGAATACCAAAGTCTCCAAACTAACATCATAAGAATTGTTCAGCAAACCATAAGGAGAATTATTATTGAAATCATGAGAGTGAAAGGGAGATCATTGTGATATGTTTAAAGATATGATCATCACAAGTAAGCTGCAATAGGAGAACTTGCAGAAAAGAAGCCCGAAAAGATGTAGGCTTCCAAGGGATACAAACCTGCCTCTCACATACCAGTTGTAAGCTACTAACAATAATTGTGCTTCATGGTCACATCTTGGAAGCAGGGCAAATTTTAGATGGTTCTTTGTTGTGGCGATCATATCTTCATTTGTAATTATCTGCTGGTCTACATGTAATTTATTGAATTTGATTTTGGAAGTATGAAACATACGATAAATTGTGCCTCGTTACTCCTGTCACAGAAACTTATGTCTGGTCACAAGAATGCTATCACCTATCTGGCCTGCACCATCAACCAGATTTCTCCTGGTATTTTTGAAGTACTCATCTTAATGGAATATTGCAGAGGTAAGCTTTGAATTGAAATTAGTTCTTTAGGTCAATAGTAGGTACACGCCGAAAGATACAAGGCTGTAAATAAACATGATTTCTCAAATATCTCTCTCTCTCTCTCTTATTTTTTTCTTCAGAGGGCCATGTTGTTCAGTTGATGAATGAGCACATCAGCTCAGGTTTCAGTGAGTCACTAGTACTGAAAATCTTCACTGATACTTGCGAAGCAGTTGCCAAGCTGCACCAAGCTGATCCACCAGTCATTCACAGAGACCTTAAGGTGCTGTTTTAAATTGGTTCTAATAGGCATCATACAGACAGACAGAAAATCTTTTGAAAAAATATGGAGAAGTCACAAACAAACTCTTTTATCAGTACACCACACTGTATTGGCCATATTTGCATGGTACATTTCTATTTTGCCCAATAGTCCATTTTACAGTTGTTTTCTTGGTTGCCAAACCTTTGAACAGAATTGAGGCTAAGGGTGACCTTGTTATGATATAAACATTGGTGTTTTTCAAATGTATATTAGTTTGTTATCATGCCAATTAGTCACTGGTCTCTATCAAACAGGGTCACCCTGTGGCTTCCACTTTGTAGTACCATGCATGCATGCAGTGAATTTGTTTGCTTTGTTTCTATGGAGTGCAATGTAAATTTATTTCTCTCTTCCGTGATTTTCAGGTTGAGAATATTTTATGCAGTAGCCGTGGTGACTTTGTATTATGTGATTATGGCAGTGCAACAAGAAGAATTGTAAACCCACAGGTTGGATGGAACAATTTGTGCATTATTTTTTTTTTTACATTTAGTGTATGTTTAACTTACCTACAGCCCGCCCTCTTTTTTTTTTTAGGTGCCTTGAAAGAAAGGAAAGGGTGTATTTGAGTCTTTGTGTGATTCTGTAGTCATACTGTCAACCTGATTTGTTTTCCTGATCATTGCCTAGTAGAAGAGGGAAAAAGAACATAAAATTAATGTTGAGAAATAATAGTTGTTTTTCGTCATGCCATGAATTTATGGAAAGGTAGCAAATTCTCCTCAGTTATTTTAAGACCATGGGTATTGGTGCAGCTGGGGCTCGAACCCTCGACCTCCCGCACATCACAATCCAGTGCTCTAACCAATTGAGCTAACCGGGAGGCGGTGAGTGACTCTATGGTGAGCAAGGCCCATTACGAAGTTCATTTATGACGGGCATCCTACACACTGCTAGGATCGGACAATGGCAATAGTGTCATGTTTGTGTATAGAATAACAACAACAAAAACAACTTTATTCACCCTTTTTCTTGAGAAGATTAAATTAACATCAAATTAAAAAAATTAAAACTAAGAGGGTGTTGGGGGTAACATTGGCTTCCTAAAATAAGAAAGATGGTAAATTTTTTAATGTTCTAACAAATCTGTTTCTTGGTGGAGGGAAGAATTTCTATTTTTTTTTTTTTTTTTGAGACAGAACATGGCAAATATCAAAATACATTTTATGTAGAAGTTTAAGTTTCATTTGAATCCCAGCGCTGAGTGGGTAGAAGCTGTTTTTTTTGTCCTCAGAGTGGTGAGTCATATCTATGCAAAATACCAAGTTAATCAGAGTGAAATTTTATCTTACTCTTCTTGTCCATTCAGGAAGAAGGTGTCACCAAGGTAGAGGAAGAAATACAAAAGTAAGCCATTAGTCATCACATGGTTTATGTTTTTAGAGTAATTATAAATCCTTTCATTCTGAAGATCTCATTTTAGTAATTCTTCTTACTATTGATTATTGAGTATTTAAGGATTTAATACAGTAATCTCATACACAGTAATCTTGTGCGTGGGAAATTAACGTCTCCTACCCCTAACCCTGCGGGAGATGGGGCCTCCATTTATTCATCCCTATCCAAGAAGACTAGAATATCTAACCATCTCTTGATGTTATAGAAAGGTAGAATATTCTTCTCAAATATTTTAAGACCTTGGGTGTTAGTCCGGCCGGGGCTCGAACCCTCTACCTCCCGCACAACTGTCCAGGGCTCTATCTATTTAGCTAACTGGGAGGTGGTTTTGTCTGCCATACAATTCTTATGATGTTAGTTTGGAGAATTTGGTATTGGATCAAATGATAATCCCCTGATTTTGTCTTTTTCCTTATTCTGGTTACTTGTCTGCTTGATATTGTATTGATATCGTAAGGAAAAATTCTTTTTTGATCACTCATGGGAGGTAAAGGGTTGATGAGAGGAAATTCAAATATCAACTAGGGAATATTGTTTCATTTTAAACCAAATTCCCAGAGCTGATATAATTATAATAAATGTATTGTAGATAGTGTGGATACTGGATATGACACCTTGGGAGTGAAGGAGGGGTTAATTTCTGTGGATATGACCAGTTGAAAGGATGGCCTTGTATCCTGTAGACCAGATTGCAAGGCACAGTGATGCGAAATCAGTAGTAGTAGTAGTAGTAGTAGTGGTAGTGGTAGTGGTAGTGGCAGTGGCAGTGGCAGTGGCAGTGGCAGTGGCAGTGGCAGTGGCAGTGGTAGTGGTAGTGGTAGACGTAGACGTAGAAGTAGAAGTAGTAGAAGTAGAAGTAGACATCTATATTTCTACAGGATAGCCCCTTCAGTGTAGTAAACAGTGGTATCAACGGGGGTCCTGTTAACCACCCATCCCACCCCAGGGGAGGACATCCATCATACAGTAATCTCGTGCGTGGGAAATTAACGTCTCCTGCCCCAAACCCTCTCAGATGTCCTTTGACGCGCAGTGAAGAATCCATTCATATCCATTGCCTTCTGTTTATTGGCATTTTGACGTTTGATTAAAGGCTTGTTACTATCCAGATTTATGGAATTATTTTTTAACACACTTTTGCTGCTCTTTCAGAGCAGTTTTGTAATTAATAGACGAGGTCTT